AACAACTTTACTCCCTTGAAATCTAGTAGGAGCGGAGTACGACTTACTCCTACCCGAAGTACTAGAACTCATAGCACAAATAGGACCTCTAACTCCTTTATAGAAAGCAGCACGAGCATGGTTGTCACGATCATAAATGTTGCACTTATTGACCAGAGTGGGAAAGTGATATATCTCCTGATAGTTAATTGTAGTTTTCACTTCAGGATGCAGACCATTTATAAATTTTATGCATTTAGCTCTTTCACCACCCTCACCATGGTAGTGTGTACAATAACGAACCAAAACATCAAATTTGGTAGCATATTCTGCCACTGTATCGTTCCCTTGATTTATTTCAAGGAATCTCATTTCTTTCCGACTCCTTACATCATCCAGGAAATACTTCTCAAGAAAGACCTTCTTGAAGTTGTCCCAATTCAAGTGCACCCGTCCATCAATCATCCTTCGAAGTGCTCCTTCGCACCAAAAGTGAGCATCAGCAGTCAACATGAAGGTGGCCAACTTCACCTTCTGAGCGAGGGGACAATCCATGACATTGAAGATCTTCTCAATCTCTGTTAGCCAATTCATAACAGCATCTGGGTCATATCCTCCTTTAAAGGTAGGTGGGTGATTTTGCTAAAATTCCTCCAACCAGTTAAGAGCAACTCCAGCCCTATTGTTATTATTAATAGCTTGTGCTAATGCTTGAAGAGCATCAACAATCACACGATCATTTCTACCAGCCATAATCTAAGAAAATAGCACAATTAATAGATATAATCAATCATCACACTAGCATACCAATAAGTTCCACAATCAATTCTGTCCATCATTCATCTACAAATAAGCACAGTAAACTCATAACTCACGGTCGATTGGATCGACCTGCTCTGATACCACTAAATGTGACACCCTCTACCCCCAACATTAATACACAATAAGTGTAAACAATAATAATTTTTTTTTCTTTTTGAGTAAATAAAATCTTTGATAACATCTTTCATGGATAAAACAATTGTCTCAAATATCATAAGGTAGAAGATTAACATTCATAACTCATAAATCATAAAAAGTGAACATGTAAGTATCAAAACTCAAGAAATCATATAAAGGAAAATATAGATTAATTCCAGCAAAGGTGGCAGTGCCTCCTAGTTAGGAATTAATTTATAACTTCCAAATCATGTAATAAAAATAATATGACAAAGATGAACATTTTGGTCTTTATCAAGAACGTTCAAAATTACAAAAGAAAAGAAAACTAAGGATTTTAAAACAATAACATCCTAAACTAAGCCTAGTTATGCCCGATGTCACATCCTATCAGAGCATGCCCAACTGAAGCCTTAAGCCTCATCACCAACATCCTCATGATGATGATCACCTGCAACATAATTTAAACATATACAAGAACACAAAGGGAGTGAGAAACATCTCATTCAGTTTCAGGTGCAGAAATAAAGGTTAGATAACACACACAACAATCATAATTCATAAACACTAATCACATATAAACAATACCCATACATGATCAGTATCACATGTACACTCATTTATCATGCTATGATGTCATGGACTCGACTCATAAATGCATGCATGTGGTGCCATACGGAAGTTTCATGTTTCATCACTAGTGACCCTAAGGTACACCTAATTACATCACTAGTGACCCTAAGGTACACCTTGTTAGCTTGTTACATCACTGGTGACCCTAAGGTACACCTGGTTACATCACTGGTGACCCTAAGGTACACCTTGTTAGCTGGTTACATCACTGGTATGCGGCCTCAGCGGCACACCTGGAGTTATATATGTATATGATGAATGTCATACATTCATTATTTCATTGACTCAACATTTGACTTATTACAATATTTCATTTAGTACATCATGTCATCATTTTTCATATTCTCATAATCATAACTTGTCTCAATAGTCCATTCTTATGTCTCATGTCATTTGTGCATATTTCACATAGTCATGTCATAATTATTCCTCATAAGGTCCGCACAAGAATCCACAGAGAGCATTCTTATTGATATTAAAACTTATTTATTTTTAACATTAATTACATATTCATTTATTACTTCTAACAAGGAACAAAGTAGAGCAAACAAAAAATAAAACATAATACATTAATATTTTGCATGTTCCTAGAAGCATGCAACAGACATGGGATTTGGGGCCAATTCGACAATCAGACTATCCAACAATTATTCCCACACCCCGAGCGATATTTCTCACTCTCCCCTTACCTCGATAAGCAGGAGCTAAAACTAGAGCAGAACCTTGCTAATCTCCTCCTATGGAATCCCTCTTTCTTTTTCTCTCTTTCTTTCTCTTTCTCGCTCTCTTTCTAACTCTTTCTTTCTCTAAGTTTTCACCTTCTCAGTTATATTTTTTTCACAGCCCATGCCTCCTATTTATAGGCATTCAGGGGTGGTCGGAACGACCTGTTCTGAATCTGGAACGCCCCGTTCTGGATCTATTCATTATATGCAAAATTTACAACTGGAACGACCCGTTCTAAAATCAGAATGACCCGTTTTCAAAAATCAGAACGGCTCGTTCTCAAATTAGAATGACCCGTTTTGGGGTTCATTTTAAAACACGTTGACTATAATTGGAACGGCCCGTTTCCAACTAAACTTTTTAGGCATTTTTAGAATCTTGGAATGGCCCGTTTCACTTTGGAACGGCCCGTTCTGGAATAACCAAAATTGGCTTATTTACTAATTTGGAACGGCCCGTTCCACTTTTGGAACGACCCGTTCTGTTTCTTTAAAAATAGTTTACTTTCATCGTTTGCAACGGCCCGTTCCACTTTTTGGAACAGCCCATTCTAGGCCTAAAAAAAAATTTTATATAAAAATTTTCATAAATAATTTAAATTATTACAAACCTTTACAATATTCTATAAAACCCCTTTAATTAACTAAAATAACTAAAAAATAATCTTCATAAATATAAAAATAAATAATAATTAATATTGTATTAGTAGAAAATTCTGGGTGTTACAGTTGAACTGAACAAGATAATTTTGGCTTCTCAAATGAATAACAAGAAAAGCCAAACCCCAAGAAAGTCATCACTTCTAGAAATGTGGTATTTTCTTGCAGATCTTTTTGCAAAAAAAAAAGTCTGCAGAAAATTTCTACTAATTTTTTTTTGAAAATTAAAATACATAAAAAACTATTACTGAAAGTATATTTAAAACAAAATTTTTACATGAGTTTGTTTTTCTTCAAATTTTGCTTCCATTATCTTTCTGGCAGGTTCTTTTATTGTGATATAAGATATTTCAAGAAATGTTATTACATTTTTTTTTCATGCAGATTTGGTTGTAAAAATTTTTTTGCGTGTAATATTTTGTAACATTTTAATAAAAGAAAGGAAATATAGTAGGTAATTTTCCTACAGATTTTTTTCTACAGAATAAGAAAAAAAATAATTTATTTAAATTTGTTAGTTTAATAATTAAAATTATTATTTGTTATAAAATATTATTTTACTACATCATTTATAAATATCTTATTATAATTAATATTAATTTAAAATTAAATTAAATTAAATATTTTCTTTAATTAAAAATATTTTTTAATTATGCTAAAATAAGAATAATAAATTTTGACTAATGATAATTTTTAAAAGAATATTATTTAATGAAAAAATATTGAATTATTTGAATTTTCATAATTTATTATATTAAATTAATTTCTAGTTTTCTTATAATAAATTATTTAAAAATTAGGACTAAGAATTTTTAATATATTAAATATACTAAAAATAGTTTTATTAAAATTATTTTTTATATTGTTAATCTAATTAAATTATAGTTTTAAAAATCGGATCGATCATCGAACAGGTTAAGGTACTGGGTCACTAGGTCAAAGGTTGAATCAGTGGGTCACTAGTTGAACCGCATGACTCGATTTTTATTTATTTTTATTAAAAAATATTCATATTAAATATATTTTATGCTTATAAATTTTAATAAATTCATATCTTTTTTAAATTTCAATTTTTCTATCTTATTTAAAATTATTTTTATTTTTATTTTTTAAAAACATACATAAAAAATTATATGTTAAACTGTATATTAATACAAATTAAAAATATAACTAATATGTACATATATAATATGCTTGCAATTGATATCACAAAAAAATATATGTAATATCTACATAGATATTATATTATTAAATATATAATTTAAAATTAATAATATACTATAAAAGTTATTTAAGTTGTATATATTACAAACAAATACATTAGAACAAGTAGTCATTGTTATATTTAATAAGACTTTTTGCTCTTCCATTAAGAGATTCAATTTTTTTATATTATTTTTTGTGGTTTATGGTCCCTTAAAAAATTATTAAAAAAAAAGTAAAAAAAGTGGTTGAATTAGTTTGACCCACCGGTTCACCGGTTGAACCGGAAAATTGACCGGTTCAATCTGGTTTGAAACGGGTCGACTGCATAATCGATCCAACTTAAGATTCAGACCAATTCGACCACCGGTTCCCGGTCCAACCGGTTCAACTGGCCGGTTCGATCCGGGTTTTAAATCACTGAATTAAATATTAATTTTTTGACATACTAGAAGTTTCGTTCTTTCTCTTCACGACACTCACAACTTCTTTATTTTTCTTCATTGAATCATTGTTTCACTCTTTCATCGCACTTAGGACTTCACTTTGCTCCATGCTTCTCTACACTGTGATACCCTCTATCCCGCATACCACAACATATGAATAATATAAATCGAATAACCTCTGTTAAGTCAAACGAAGATGAAGCAATTTCCAGCAAGATTTTGAATGAGACAAATATAATACATGTTGTTAATTCTAACAAGAAGTGTAGTAGTGTTTGAGATTCGTATAAGAGTAGAGAAAGCTAAAGTATGAAGCAAGGTCAAGCAAAACAAGGATCTGACAAAACAAGCATATGCATCAGACGATACAAGACGACAGTCGGAAGCATCATATAGACAAGTTAAAACAAAACTCAAGCATCGAACAAATACGAGTCAAAGCAAAAGAACTTAAACGGAAAGTGGTCAAACAAAACGAAAGTCAACAAGACTCAGACGAAGGTTGGTCAAAGATCAAGAAGAAAGTCAAGGCTTGAGACGCACGTGGACTACTAGACGCAGACGAAGACTGCCATAAAAGCATATGAAGAATCAAGTCTCAAAGGATAAATTAAGGCATCGTCTACGACCACACAAAAGCTCTCAATGTAAAATGCGTGATCAAAAGAGAAGAGAAAAAGAAGAAGAAAAGCACGCAAAAGTAATAGCATGGATGTGTTAGAAAAAGTACAACACTTTTTCAGACAAGGACAAAATTGTACAGCTATGTGACTAGAAAAGGACAAAAAGGTTCCTAGGTCTCTACTAAACTTAGACATTGTTGTTACCAAGACAAAGAATACTTCACACAAGGTCCATCACAGGAGGCAACATTTAATGCAAGAATCTGAGCGTTAAATGATAAGATTAAACTAGTCGTGAACGACTATATCTGCTTCAACGAACACTTGTAACAGGTAGATTTCACAAGACTATATATAGGTCTCAA